GTTGTTCCAGAAACAAACGGACATCTTCTTTGTGTTGCTCAACTGTTTCACTGGCAATAAAACAGGTCATCCAAATATATGAAGCAAAACGGAAGGTTACGAGTCAATTCATTCATGAACCGTTGGAATGTACGAGCAGCATTTCTTAGTCCAAATATGGCATAGTTATATATTCAAACAATCAAAATGGAGTACAATTAACTGCCTCTGGAATGTCTCCCGGATTGGAATTTGATAATATGCTCGTACAAAATCTAGCTGGAAACTGGAATCATAAATATGAGGAACACCATATCTATCAGGCTTAGTAATGTTATTCAGTGCCCTATAGGGTCTCGAACTTCCGTTTGATTTAGGAACCATAATATGTGATTGGAGAAGACCAGTTGCTTGATGATGGTCTGATAATTCCTAGAGCTGGAAGTCGACTGAATTCTTTTCTAACAATTTCAAGTTTCTCCGGTGAAAATCTGCGAGGTTTTGAAAATACAGGAGGACCACTTGTTTTAATGAAATGTACAATTTTATGCTTAAATTTTGAGGTTGTGGTCCGGCCTCATAAACTCTGGGTATCCAAATAAAACGTGTCGGAAATCAGTGGGAATTTCAGTCAAGATCATTGAATATTTCATTGACTTCACGTCTGATTTCTTCCTGAGTCTGCCTCTAGCAGAATCACATATCAATTAATAAATCAAAATGTCTCAATAAGTCTGCTCCAAGGATCTGATAATTACTATGATGAACTTTCATCGTCTGTATCAAACTTAAGTTGTAAACGTTTATCACCGTAAATTGAAATTTTAGATCCATTTGTAACAGAATAAATGAAAACATGATTTTCATTTATGGTTTTGGGTGGTAAAACACTTACTTCACTTCCCAGTATCAACCAAAAATGAAATATTGTTGACTGTTGAATTGCGACCTTTTGGGTTATCTTGTGGATTATTCAACAAGTTTCTTCAACTCAGCTAATTCGTTTGATAGTTTATTAATTTTTTCATTGAATCCCGATGATTCAATAATTCCATTTGCAGACATAATGGATAATTGCTGATCAAAAGATTCAAAAATATTGTCGGAAGTGAGTGTATCTGAATGAGCATCCCTCAAACTTCGAATGCATAAGATGTCGCAAGCGCTCGGAGTCAGATAGACTGATAGAGTCGTTCTCTTGATTACCTATTTCATTCTCAAGATCTTTATATGAGTATTATTTACCAAAATAACTCTCAGACATCTAGCAATTTCAGGCGGTGCAGCAGAAATAATCTGATGTTTTGATCTTCAAGTCAATACCATAGCACATCACAATGCAAATGGCAAATGTTTTCGGCACTTCTCGATCTTTGACTGTATCCCTGCGTTCTTTACCTCTCGGAATTTCCTTGTCAGGGTCACCAATTTGTAAGAATTAATCGGAAGTTTATTAAAAATATCTCAAATTAGTTGATATAATATATAAAGATAACTTCATCTAGGGAGAATATGATACAAACTGCCGCAATGGAAGATCAGGGATAACTCATCGTAACTGCTTTATTCGAAGCATTATTTTCTAAAGGAATCTCTCTCAAATTGTATAATAAATTGCCATTACCATTAGCGCCCAGAATGTTAAATTCTGGAATATTCAGTTGAAAAATATTTTCAATCTGCACGTGTAAATGCTTTGACTGTCAACCAATCTTGCAAGTGATAAGATTTATTTATGGTGAAGGTAACTTTAGATGTCTCGCTTCTTTTTCCTTAAAAAAAAAATATCTCCCCAGACAGCACACAAAGTCTTGAAGAAGTCTTTTTTAGGTCTGCATTATATCTGAACGTCTGAAAAATACCTACATCTAAAAGACGTTGTTTCGAAGATGTTCATAAGATGTAAATTCACATGCTGAAGACGACTATTTGGTCAAACCAGGCCTAAATGTGAATAATGATTTATGTATCGAAAGAGATTTATAAAGACGTATTGAAGACATCTCGTTGGAGATGTCTTAGTTTTAAAGACGTATTTAGGCAGATGTCTGTAGGACGTTGGGTTTTGTCAATGAACTAAACAAACACACTGGAACGGTGGCTACATAATTGTTTCTACGTATGGGCTTGTGCCAGGAAGGACAACAAACAAGAGGGATTTGCATCTCTCTCTGCACTATGGCGGCTATTGAGAACAGTTGTTTGAAGTGTTTGGATCATTGAGGTAAGGAAGATGAAGAATGTCTTCTTTCTTTTACATTAATCGCAATGAGTGCGAGTGAGACAATAATCCCACCGTATTGTTGGGTTACATACAAAATTTGGCACACTAGCATAAAGCAGTGCGCCCATTCCAGAGTGTTTGTTTAGTTCATTGGGTTTTGTAACATATGACATCTTCAAGATGTCTTTAAGACGCCTTGAAGACGTAACCAAGACAACTTGAATGTCATTTGTGGACATCTTAGGGACGCCTTTAAGATATCTACAAAAATTTCCTACAGAATTTGATTCAGCAAGCCTTTACAAAAGTAAAGAATTCAACAATTGCCCCAGTATTGCATCTTTGCGTCAGAAGACAATCACCACAATTCCTAGTACTATATTCATGTACATTTCTAAAAACAGTTACTCTTTCACAGATATAATTTGGTTATAAACCTCTCTTAATCTTAAATACAAATACATACACATTAAAAATAATTTTCTGTCTAACAAACAACACATTCAAAAATCATGCATAACCCTAATAGGAGTGGTAGGAATATATCGATTGCATTTCAGAATCACCCTCATAGCCCTGTTCTATATTTTTTGAATCTGCTCCACCTTGAAAGCAGGCAATGCATACAAAAGTGTGGATCCAAACTATGTAAATGAAGTCGTGCAATGACATCCTAGTGCCATTCGACAAACTATTTCCCACCCCTGAAAGAAAACCAACCCTTTTAGAAATTTTTTTCATAACATAGTCAGCATGAGCCTGGAAATTTAAATTCTAATCCAAAATTACCCCCAAGTACTTGATTTGGTTTTCGTGTGCCAAAGCTTCATTTATTCATGCTGATGTTAATGTTATCTACATCAATATCCCTTATTCTTGTTCTTCTACCAAACATACAAAACTTAGATTTCTCAACGTTGATGCAAATATTATTATCACTGATCCATTTAAAAATTGTATTAAATTCCACATTCATAATCTGTTGTAAATGGCATCTCTGCCAACAACGTACAGCATTGTGTCATCCGCAAACAAAACAATTTCACTTTCACTCAACACCTACCTATATCATTTATATATAGTAAAAAGAGCAATGGACCTAGAACAGTTCCCTGAGATACACCATAATTTACATTCATTCCATCAGAAACACTATTCTTGAATATAACACATTGAACTCTATTACAAAGATAAGACCTAAACAAACTGAGAACAGTACTATCAACTTTCACATTTTCCAACTTTTTTTTAACAATATATCTCTATTAACAATTTTAAACGCTTTCTCAACAGAGGCGGATTAAGACACTGGTGGGCCCGGTGCTAATTTATTTTTTGGATTCCCTATTTTTTTATATAATGGAAGGAATGAAAAAAAAATCATCAGTCATTATACCTACCTACTAACACCAACATTCAATAATACATAAATTTGGCTTCCACGGGGATTCACGCACGAATCACCTAACCTAGAACTATTGATGATAACGGCGATTAGGCTATCAAAAAGGAAGATGCGTCCTTCCCATACCTATTACCTATACTAACGTAGATATATCGCGGGTTGTTTCGAGCTGATCAAGCAAACAATATTAAATGAAAGTATGCCATCTTTGTCGAGAGAGAATTTTGTTTTCCAATCTAATGCGCATGCGTCAATTCCAGCAATAAGCATCAATTTTAAGCAGCTGATATTGCAGGGTTTTTTTGTGTATGTTTTCGTTTAAAAGAAATTAATAATTTAAGAGCCTAGCGTTTGGAATACACAAAAATTGACACTTATTGAATGAGTGATAATAATTAATAATGAAATATTAATCCTGAAGACGTCTTTAGGCAGACGTTGGGTTTTGTAACATATGACGTCTTTGAGATTAAGACGCCTTGAAGACGTGAGCAGACTTCTAAAAGACGCCTTGAATGTCGTTTGTGGACATCTTAGGGACGTCTTCAAGACGCCTCTATGCTATCTGGGTTCTACATCATCCTCAGTGTCCGGAATATAATAAACCTCGACTATTTAGAGTACAGAATCATCACATGACCTGGTTGTGAAAGAATCTTCAACTGGGTTGTTTAGAGTATAATTGAAGAGTTTCACCACTAATAAGATAAGATAATCTGGCTTTCTCTTCCTTTGAAACATGACGTGAATTTGTTCCAATTTTTACCAGTGGTGACTTCAATTACTATAGAAGAACGGTGCCAGTGATAAGATTCTCCAGTTGTTCAATCTGATCTTTTTACTTCTTTTTCCTTTGAACGATTTTACTGAATGGCCTGGAATGATGTTAAAATTTGAAATATTTAGAATCATTAAAAATTATTAAATCGATTTTTCTATGACAGCGATTTCCTTGAAACATATGACTTAGCTTTTTGGAAACATTCAAATGCACTTGTTAAATTACTCTGCTTAGGAGCAAAAGCCAAAAAACCCCAATGAAGAAGAAAAAGACGAAAAAGGAAAAGAAGTTCTACGTATTTTGAGTTTGGAGGGTCATCCTTGGGGATGGAAATAGCCCTTAAATCCTCTATAGGCAATACAGGCATCAGACCGATTTTCGGCCGACGAGAATCCTGGAATGTATTATTCCTTGGTGTTGCATGTGATCAAAAAACAAAAGTGTAAAAAGTAAGTTGTAGACCAAAGTAAAAGTTTTCTGGGTGAGAAGAGAAAAGAATTACCTACTTTTCTCTCTGCAGTTGTAGTCTGTGATATAAAAGTGTAGCATCATGTAGTAACTGGGACAGCAATTACTGACAAAGCTACAGTCAAATAAAACAACCCAACGTTCAGAACACATCTTTATTATTGTCCTGAAACCTTTCCTAATATTATTTACAACAAATCACTTAGAAGCAAATAAAACGTATTTATGTACAAAGTATCCTTATAATTAAATGACTAAGTATATTATTACGCATATTTAAACATATATTCTTCAGTATGTAGTTGGACCGATTAAATTTAAATACATTTCTTTGGCATGATAAAATAATAAACTGCAATAAATAATATTTTCAATTAACAGTATCCTTATCGTCTCTAAATTCTTCTTTGATTTTCGTCTTAGGCTCTATATCACTTTTAATTAAATTTTCTATTGTAAACAGGCTGGAATTTTTCAATCTTTTCACAGACGTTTGACTGTCCATTTCATCGCTTCTTATTACCAAAGAAAGAGCCTCTTTCTGAAACAAAAAAATAAGATAAATTGAGTAAATTTTAAAACTAAAAAAAAATCAATCCTCGCTTTGCGTGCATTTTGCATAAAACGCAAAAAAGTTTCGTTCGCAGAACAGAAACTGCTGTTAAAATAAATTCAACACAACTTTTCGGGCATCGCGTTGAGAGTGCAGTAAAGTGCATTTTACCGAATTTACGGGGGCGCGCGCTCTAAACTTCATTTTTGCTACAGCAGCAGGAAATTTTTGTTGTTTGTGTTAGTGGCGAGGGCTCTTTTTTTTTTTAATTAGGCAAATCTGGAGTTTTCTAGGTTTTATTGAAATTTTGTTGTAAAAGAACCACTGTAACATGTCCAATGAATTTGCTTTTGCTTGAGAGGATTTTGATGATCACCCAGAAGTGGAAAATAACATCAATTTATCAACGTCTCACCAATTTGTAAAGATTAAAGAATCTGTTGTTGATAATGAATAATCAAAGTTCCATTGATTGTACAGGAATAGAAGCTCTGGCTAAAGAAGGGTAATCAGAATTTTCCAATATCGTAGATCTAGTTCCTTTGTCCACAACCTCTTCTAAAATTTTGAAAATGCATCTTAGCATAAGTCAATCACTGAAGTTGAGAAATTTGTCAGAAATTAGCTCAGAAACTACAGTAAGCTTCCAAGAACACAAAATTTATAAAGTTCAATACTTCACAATACAATACAATAAATCAGGAAACTATATTTTTGTTGAACAATGATATCTAAGAAGAATGTATGATCGAGTTTCCAAGTTTCATGGCTGTTACATAGGATCTTACCCTTCCTAGACTTTATCTAGACTCCTATTCAAAAAAAAAAAATCTATTTTCAAAAGTATTTAATTTTTTACGGGAATTTTCAGGTCTACGACTGAAAAAATGACTAAAATTTGTTCAGTTTTATACATAGAACTCCTACAAACTCTGTAGAAAAAACTGACGCATGCCCTTATTTGATCCAGAAGTTACAACAGAATTCTTGGAATACTCACATTTTGTCCAATGTTCAGACAAATGATAATCGATTTTCCAGGTTTTATGGATGCCACATGAAATCTTATACTTCTACACACTCTACTAATATTATATAGACACCCGCGAGCCTTCAGCAACCAAAATAAACTTGAAATTCCCAGTTTAATACTGCTACACACCGAAAGTCTACAGTTTGTACGCAGTCTACTTTTCGCCTACTTGTAAACTGTAACGTAACAGACACTAAGTTTCAGGCAAAAATACTTTTAAATACTACTCGTCCTCTAGACTCTGTAGAAGACACCCGCTAAAGTTTGGCGAACGAAATATTTCAGAAACTTCTTTAATCAATCTTTAGGCTAGTTTTAATAGTACAATGGCTAATTCAAGTTAAACCCATTGAGGATGTTACCAGACAACATGTAATGGTTCCAGCAGTAACAGTTCCACTCAATTGGCTCGTATTTCTTGACATATTCAAGCACGTGATACATGAAAATCAAACAATCAGATGCAATTCTTGAAGACGCATGTACGAGGTGAAGACAGTAGAGTAATTCAACATCTGTCAACGTCAAAAGCCAATTACGAGACAGCATGGAGCTTACTACTGGGTCGTTATCAGAATTCAAGACTTCTCGTTTCAAAACGTCATCGAACCACACTAACACAAAACATCCCCCCTTAGAAATGTAAGTCTTATGAGAGACGTCAGTCTAGTCGTTTCAGCTTTCCCCTCCAATCACTAGAGGCGCTTCAATCAACCTATTAAAGTTTTCTTTTTCCTGCCGGACCGTGCGCCAAGATTTGAAGTTTATTTTGTCATTTCCAGTGGTCAAAATTTAAATTTTGAACTTCTCCCAACATTTAGAATTATCAATTACCTATCAATTATCAATAATTATTATCTCAAAATGTCTTCTCCCAGTTTGTTAATTGAAAAGCATCAGAAATGCTGTGTTCCGGGGTGCGGCGACAAATACAGCAGCTATTTCCGGTTTCCAAAAGATGCCGAAAAAATGAAACAATGGCTAGAAAAAGTTCGCAATCCTTTACTACATAGCCTAAGTGTCGAGAAGGCTTATAATAATTATAGATTGTGAACAAGACATTTTCCTCGAGAATTTATTGTTGGCGATCCAAAAGCCAGACGAGGACTCACATGGAATGCTGCGCTTTTGCTGTATCTCCCTGAAGGTAAGTTAATACTAGATATATGTGAGAAAGACGTACTTACATTTTCACTTACTCCTCCCCATAGTTCTGATTAACGACAACGTGTTAGAATTCGGGTTTAAAGGAGCATAGGTTAGAAACATTAAAATTAATTTTAATTTTAGCCCCAATTATCAAAAACAGCGAGGAGTCGTTAATTGATAAACCACAATCACCATAATGGCAAAAAGTGGAGATCGACTCAGTTGAAACTCGTCGAAGAGTCCTAAGACGCCTTCAGAAATTAGTTTCGCGACTATGATTGACATAGGTAGGTAAACATAATAACTCTGTTCCAACACGTCAAAAAATCGTCCCATGAACGGTTTCGAAACCACTCAGTATAACAATTTTAGTTTCTGCGCAGAATCGTGACGGTACATTGTACGGTTTTCTGCAGTGTTGGAACAAAGCTAATATTATTCATTTCTTTTTTTTTAATGTTTATTTCTTTATCAGGAGACACAATAATTAAAATATTCCTGGTTACATACAGGTACACCATATTCTACAATGCATGTATCCAAACTTTTTTGGTAGAATCATTGGTAACGAAATTTCTGTTCTAGATCAACCAGGCCCTTCATGTCGTCAATTTTTATCTACTGAAACTTCTGCAATTCGGGCAGACATTGCTACACCAAGTGGAACCATCACATCTGCAAACATGAAAAAGTCACCAACCAACTTTGTCTCTTAAAACTTTTATTGGTAGGTACCTAAGTGTTATTGCTTAATGAATAACCACCCAGTTGGGAGTAGGTGAATTTTAAAACATCCTAACTCAAGTAGGACTACTACTAAAAAAGACTACTAATTACTAAAACTTGCAGTCGAATGCTAGAAAAATTACAAGCTAAATGTGCGAAAAGCTCGTCTCCAATCTTGATCTATTTTTTTTTTGCAGGTCATGAGAGACGATGCCAAATTTTAAAGAACATTAACGTCACTAGGCAAAAAATTCCTATCCCAAGGGAAAAATATCTTTATTCCAAAGTTATAGAAGCCAGCAATAAGTTAAGAAGAATCAGTAGAAGGTTGTCGTCATTTAAATCCAAAGTTTCTGCTGCTGAATAACTTGCATCATAAACCAAATTTCAAAGGCTCGTAGACCACGTCAATCCATTGATATACAGCTTTATTTTAAGCCAAGTCCGTACTCAAAACCAAAAGCCTAAAGCTAGACGATTTACATTGGACGAGAAGTTGTTGGCGTTGTCTTTGCTTAAAGCTAGTGGTAAAGGGTATAGACTATTATCAAAAATATTTATTCTATCATCCAGGCGAAATCATTTTCTTGAATGAGCTTTATATTATGTATAACTACATAAACTTTCTACCTAACACATGCGGAAAGTGTATTTTCTGGACTTAAAGGCTTGTCCGAACTCTGCTTTTTGTTGTCATTCGTGCAACTTCCATCACGTGCAGAAACACTTTCCTCACTTGTTAGGTTAACAACGATTCTGGATTGTGAGAAAAGGACCTCTTTTGTCATTTTATTTACGATTTAAGTTTTTCATCAAGCTATTGTTAAATGTACGTCATTACTTCTTGTAACTGTCCTTATTATCTTTAACTTAACTAGCATTACCTACCTATGTATGTATACTTACATGAAAAAAAACTGTTTCGCAATAATTGTAATTAATTCCATATTCTTTAATATTTTCTGTTTCAAACTTTAATAAATATCTAAATTTGTCATCTTAATTCTTAGTCAATTTACACCTTGAAGGCGCTTCAACACTACCGATTTTATGAGTTTCTTCTTTTTGGCACAATTATTTTATGCCAAAAAATGGTAGAAACTTTAAAGTGGTGGTGTTGAATCGCTAGAATCAAACGATCCACCAGAACGAATAAGATACCGAACGAACCCTAATTGCGTTTTGCATTCGCCAATAAATCCAGAATTACAAAAGCTTACCCCCCCAGTCACTAGAGGCGCTGAAAACTTATAGACAGGTTCTCAACACGGCACTTACCTTTCTAAGGGGGGATGTTTTGTGCACACTAATGGTACAAATGACAATGTATTACCAGCAACTGCCATAGTAGAAGTGACCACACCATGTATGATATAGCAGTTATGAGTATTAATCGATCAAGGGTCACAAGTATCGTTCATCACAGAAGAAGCTACACAGAGATTAGGTTTTCCACAAAGTAGAATTTCTGTAGAAATATCTGGGCTGCAGATATCCACCTAAAACCACGAGTAACTATGCTAGTTAACATGATGGTACTGACCAAGTTAACTCAAACAAGACCTGCAGAAGAAGTCCAAATTAGTGGAATATAATCTTGGAAAAATGATCCAACCTTCATGAAGGCCGGTCCCATAGACGCCATACTTGGCGCTAAAGAATATGCGGCCATTATGCTTAATGACATTCAGAAAACTGTAGAGGGTCTTCTTAAGCAAAACACGGAACTGGGATGGATAGTGTCAGGTCCAGTTCAGACCAAAAGACCATCAATATAAGTCTTTAGCCTGGCAACTCAAGCAGAAGATAAACAATTGGGAATTGGAAGAAGTTACACAAGCTAACAAGTATACAGAAGTTGTTCAAATCTGTAAAGAATTCTATGACCAAACAGCAATAAGGAATGATGACAGTTGGGATTCCATTTAAAAACTCGACCAGTTACTTGAGGCAGTCAAAGCCAAAGACTGTCGCGAGACTACTGAATCTAGAAAAGAAATTCCTACAAGATCAGAATCCTAAAGAGCAATACTCAAAGTTCATTACAGAATACTTGGAGCTCGGACACATGGTAAAGATT